ATTTTATCCTCTTAATGTAGAATATCAGGGCAGTTTTCCTTGATAATTTCTTGAAGATGATGTCTAAGCTCTTTTTTTTAAATCATGACTTTCAGGTAGTCCAATAATTTTTAAATTATCTCTCCTTGATCTATTTTCCAGGTCAGTTGTTTTTCCAATGAAGTATTTCACATTGCCTTCTTTTTTTTTCATTCTTTTGGTTTTATAATTTTTTGATTTCTCATAAAGTCATTAGCTTCCATTTGTGTTTTCTTCAGTGAGCTTTAGGACCTCTTTTTCCATTCAGCCAATTCTACTTTTTAAGACATTCTTCTCCTCATTGGCTTTTTGTACCTTTTTTGCCATTTGGGTTAGGCATTTTTTTAAGGTGTTCTTTTTCTTCAATGTTTTTTGGGGTCTCCTTTAGCAAGCTGTTGACTCATTTTTCATGATTTTCTTTCATCACTCTCATTTCTCTTTCCAATTTTTCCCCTACTTCTCTCACTTTCTTTTCAAAATCCTTTTTGGGCTCTTCCATGGTCTGAAACTAATTCATATTTTTTGGAGGCTTTGGATGTAGGAGCTTTGCTTTTGTTGTCTTCTTCTGGTTGTATGTTTTGATCTTCTTTGTCACCAAAGTAAGGTCTATAGTCTGGGTTTTTTTCCTCTGCTCATTTTCCCAGCCAGTTTCTTGACTTTCTAACTCTTTGTTAAGGTAAGGCTCTGCTTCCAGTGTGGAGGGTGTACTGTCCAAAGCTTCAGGGGTTTTGTGTGGCTGTTTTCAGAGATACTTCTGCAGACATATATATTTTCAGTTCTTCCAAGGTGGTATGATCAAAGGAGAGGTGTTTACTCCTTTTCTGGCCTGTGCTCTGGTCTATGAGTAACCACAAGCACTCTTTTCTGCCTTGGAACTCTAAGAAGAAGTCCCTTTCTACCACCACAAGCTCCACCATGCCAGCACTCCTCCTTGCTCCAGGACTGCCACCAAGTACTGCTAACCAGATCCAAGCATGGGCAAAGCAAGAGAATCCTGCTCAGTGCCAGAAAAGAGATCCCTGCAATCACTCTCTGATCAGCTGCTTGATACCCCACCATGTGTGAACTGAGAGCTCCAGAATTAGCTACCTCTGCCAATGCCCTGGAGCTGCACCAGGGCTGGGGCCATACCATTCTCCTCTCTCACCCAGGTCTGATAGAACTTTCCTATTGACCCTCTAAGTTGTCTTTGGTATTTTTGGGTTAAGAAGTCTGGAAACCACCACAGCTACCTGTAATTCAGTCCCCTGAGGCCTGCTCTGGATTTGCTGGGGTACTGTCTTTGCCTGTGGCAACCCACGCTGAATAGTGCTCCTCTCTCAGCCTGGTGCAACAGACCTTTCCTACCAACCATCCAGGTTGTCTTGAGCTGGAAATTTGTTTCACTCTGTCTTTTCGTTGGTTCTGCTGCTCTAAAATTTGTTTAGAGTAATTTTTACATGTATTTGAAGGGGATTGAGGGAGAGCTCAAGCAAGTCGCTCTTTTACTCAGTCATCTTAGCTCTGGCCCTGTGGATAGCATTTTTTCTCATAAATCCTTCAGAGTTTTCTTGGATCATTGTATTGTTGAGAATAGCTAAGTCATTCACAGTTAATCATCTTATAATGTTGGTGTTAGTGTTAGCAATGTTCTCCTGGTTCTACTCATTTCACTTTGGGGGGCAGCTAGGTGGTACAGTGGATAGAGCTCTGGCCTTGGAGTTGACATTTACTAGCTGTGTGACCTTGGGCAAGTCACTTAACCCTGACTGCATAGCAAAAACAAACAAACAAACCAAAAAAAGATACTCATTTCATTTTGCATCAGTTCATGTTAAGTCTTTCCAGGGTTTTTCTGAGAGCATCTAGCTCATCATTTCCTTTAGCACAATAGTATTCTATCACAATCATATACCACAAATTGTTCAGCCGTTCCCCGACTGATGAGCATCCTCCCATTTTCCAATTTTTTGCAAACAGAAAAGAGCTGCTATAAATATTTGGGCATAATTCCAAATTACTCTACGTAATTTCTTATTTGCAAAACAAATCCTATATTTCTAAGATTTCCCATTCTGTGCTAATAGAAGCTTTATTAATTCAGAGAGCCTTTCATAGAAAGATACTTAGGGAAAGCCAATGGTAGGGGCAACATCTAAATCTCACCATATGCAATCTAGAGATGACCTTACCAGTAGTTAAAATACGCTTCTTTTTTTTTTCTTGGTAACCAACAAACAGTAAGCATGATAGGACCTGATTTTCTCTACATCTTCCTATGAATTGTGTAAGATGAAATAGGTAGACTATTGATGAATTTCACTTTTGAAAGTCTGCTAGTTGTCTACTGATATCTTTATTGAAGATGCCTCCATTTTTTGTACAATGATTATTTGGTGATGCATTTGTTGGCCATGGCAACCTATGACACAAAGAAAAATACAAAATTATGTTTGTCCCTACATGCTCCCCTTCCACTTCTGTAGTGATTGTGACAAAGTGGTAGTAAAAAGAACAAACAGGTCCTCCAATATGTTTTGTATAAGTGGGATAGGAGGGACATACAATGGCAGATGTTGATATTTTATTTGCCTTTTGGGCCAGGGAATATTTAATATCATCTGGGATTTTTCCATTTTTTTAAATGTTCCTTTAGATACCTTACATAAAGATGCCATGGTGATTGTACGATTGTGTCTCCTCCAGTAAAGAGCTCTTCTTGTTCCAATCTGGACTGCTTTTCTCATTCTTGTTCTTGTTAATGCCATTTCTAGCTCCTTGACAAACTTATCTGAGACTATGTTAGCTAAGGACCAAGTGTGGTGGTTTTTCATTTATAATGGAGAAAAACATTTCTTAGAGTTATCTTTTCAAATACTTTCCATCTTTCTTCTATTTGTTATCTCTTTAAATTTTGTCTTTAAATGTTTTAGGGATGATTTTGCTTAATTCTTACCAAATTTTCTTTAAACTGGTTTTAACGTACTTTCCCATAATATTCTTTCATCCTCATCTTTCCCTACCTTTTCATTTGAAGTCAACAAGGATCAGACAGTATATTGATTTCATTTGGAACATCTTACAGAATTCTTCATAGAATTTTTCTATCTCTTCATCTTCAGGAACTGATATTGGTTCATAAGCTACAGTTATTTTCATGTCTTTCTGCAATTACTTATCATCAGTTATGCAGTATAAGATGATCAGGTATCTCATAAAATATTTCTTGTTGCCTCTTGTCGTACAATAAAAACAAATTCTCCAACAACTTCTTCTTCTTCTTCTTCTTCTTCTTCTTCTTCTTCTTCTTCTTCTTCTTCTCTTCTTCTTCTTCTTCTTCTTCTTCTTTTCTTCTTTTTCTCCTCCTCCTCCTCCTCCTCCTCCTCCTCTTCTTCTCCTCCTCCTCTTCCTTCAGGAGTACCTGTGATTCTTCCTTCATTTCACTTCAACTTTCCTCTTTCTTTAATTTACTTGATAGCAAAGATGTCAAGAGTGACATGATTTAGCTCATCCAGCATTCTTTGGTTATTGGAAAAAGATGTTACATTTAGAGCACCAATAGTCAAATTAAAATTTGTTGATGGTTTAAAAGTACATGATTTTTGGACCTGTTTGTCCACTTTACTACCACTTTGTTACAATCACTACAGAAGTGGAAGGGGAGCATGTAGGGTCGAACATAATTTCGTATTTTTCTTTGTGTCATAGGTTGCCATGGCCGACACATTCATCATCAAATAGTCAGCCTAGTGGTGATGAGCCTTTCCATACTTAGCTGGGTTGGTCTTTGGAAAATAGACTCAGTCTGTTCTCAGGGCCTTACTTGAAGATTTTCCAGTGTAGTAGAATCTGCCAGAGTTTATACTAAGCTGGCATACATAGCCTTTGAGAACCCAAAGTAACTTCTGTACCACAATGAGGCATCAAATATGATTCTGTGGAGAACCTTTAAACTATCCAGAGCCAAAATTTATGCTGATTATTTTATAGAAGTGTTAGCTAGCTAAATAACTAGATATGAAACTCTACCAAAGTAGTTTTTATGGAATGGAAATCTACTTTTTTAAATAATAAAGCCTAAAATTCTAGCCCTACACAGGTACTTACATTAAGGATTTTGGTGGATTGAGAATGTATTGAATTCAGTTTGCAGAGAAATAGCTCACCCTAGTTCCTAAAAGCCTCTTTCCACTTGTGAGTGTGACGCCTATTAATTATGGCTAGCTCAACAGCCACCATGGGCTTCTCACTCTAATTTCTAGACTCTCCCTAGAAAAGAGGTAAAGACAGAGAAAATTTATAGACCTCAGTGATCCAAGAAGAATGCCTATTTCCCCCTCCTTATGCTTTACCACCTCTTCTGGGTCAGCCAGATACCATATTCAAAAGAATCCATTAAAGGTCACAACTCTCAATCTCCCCCAGTCCCAACAGCTGTCAAATATCACCAGCCTTTCTAGAGGAGCCCACACCATATTTTGAGTCAATAATTTTATTTGCCTGTGTTTGTCTTCTAGCTTTTAGAAGCCTCATAGTGAACCTGCACTTTCTGTTTTAGAAACCAGATCTGGTGTGTTGTTACTTAGGGAAAGGGCCAACTGAGAACAGTGACTTTTTGATCCCTATACACAGCCTCAACTAAGTACACCCTTTTCTTAGGAATTAAATTCTGACAGAAGCTGGCCCTTAAGGGCCTCATTAAACAGCTAAGGTGCAATGATAAAATTGGTTAAAAGCAAGCAGGCTTTTAATATAAGGCTGCTGGAAAGTGACAGGAGTAAAGTCAGGCATGCTCTATTCATTTTGATTATGGCTAATCCTCACTCCATCCTTCCTCTTATTTGTTTTGTCATTTGTAGGTACATTGATCCTGTATCCACTGAGCAGTGACCTTGTATGATTAGTATATCTTTTAATTTGCTTGTGTGAAACAACTTTTTAAAAATATTAAATCAATATTTTGTTTCTCCTCACCTTTCCCCAATCCCACTTCACCTTTACAGAACTATCATCTGTTGCTAACATGCAGTCTAGTTTTCCACATCCCTTCCATCTGTGGATATATGAATATTTCTTCCCAGTCCCAGGAACAGAAGAACTTGGGGAAATGGTGTCACATGGATTGAGAAGTAAGGCATTTAAAAGGCATTTTTGAAAGGTCCTACTTGTAGAAATAGCCAAAATGAACCACTTTAGCCAAAAGGGGTTTGGGTCTCTATCCTTGATTAGAATATGGGTATATTTATAAAATTTTTCTTTAAATGCTAGCCTAATTATTTTTATAATGTGTTTGGGTAACAGGCCATGGTGACATTTTAAATGCATATGTTTGATACTTTCTAATACAGCCACTTAAATTTTAAATTCAGTGGTCTCTACTTTTTCTTTATCAAACTTTATTCTGCTTTCTAACATTAAGCTCCAGTAGTATACTAAGCACTGAATAGATTATCTTTAGTTACACACATACTTTTTAATTTCCTCTGTCACAACTATATCACATATCATTGATAAGTAACATGTAGTAGTTGTTTGTCACTATTACAAAAAGATGTCAACGGGTCCAGTCCACCTCACACAAAAGGACAAAAAGGGGCTGATCCTGGCTCTGGCATGAGTTCTGATTCAAAAACAGAAACTGAATATATGAGCAAACAAATAAACCTGAAAATAAAGAAATAGAGGGAATCCCAAGATAAAATCCCAGAGGAATTTGTTCTGGAGACAGCTTTTTCACCTTTCAGGGAAAAACTAGCCTACCCCATGCTATATCAAGGAGGAGGGAACTCTAGTGTTGTTACACTACGGATCCTCTGGGTAAATGAATTTGTGATATATTTCCAGGTATAGATATGTCATATGTCATGCTATAAGTTAATATTTATAAAAAAGTGATTCTATTTCTACATGTCACATTTTAGAAAGAACATTGAAAAAGTAGAGGTTGTCTAAAGGACAGTGATCCTCTAGAAAAAGGGACTGAGTCAAATAAGGATCCACTGAGGAATTTAGGATACTTAGACTGAAAAAGAGAAGATTTGGGATAGGTGAAGAGGAAGGGGAGGAGGAGGGTAGATAGACATGACAATTGTTTGCAAGTACTTGAAGGCTTATCATATGGGACATCAGACTTGTTCTGTGTGGCCCCAGGAGCAGAACCAAAAACAGTGGGTTGAGGTTTGAGGAGGAGATTTCAGTTCAAGGTGAGGGAAGCCTAAGTGGAATAGCTACCTAAGGTGGGAGTGGATTTCCTGTCACTGGAGGGCTTCACACAAGGACTGGATGACCACTTGTTTTCAATGTTAGGTAGCAGTTGAAGACCTCAGAAGCAGGAGAAGACCTCAGATGTCCCTTGCAACTCTGACATTCTGTGTTATTCTATAGGTTTTTGATACCATGAAACTTACATAGCATTCTTTGTGAAAGGTAGCTAGGTGGTGCAGTGGATAGAGCACAGGCCCTGGAGTCAGGAAGACCTGAGTTCAAATCCAGCCTCAGACACTTACTAGCTGTGGGGCCCTGAGGTAAGTTGCTTAACCTCTGTCTTCCTCATTTTCCTCATCTATAAATGGGAATAATAATTTCCATGGTGGGTCTGCGGCTAAAATGAGATAGAATTTGTAAAGTGCTTTGCAAACCTTGAAGCCCTATATAAAAATGCATGCTACGAATGCAAGCTCTGATTCCCTCCAAAGGTAGACAAGGCAAACAAAGAGAAACAGTAGGAATTACCACCTAAACCCGTGCCCTTCTGCCAAGACCTAATTTTCCTCTTCTCCCATTCACCACCACCCTTGCTATATATTAGGATTAAGAGGAGCAAAGGAGCTCTGCAACACCAGAGCTAAGGCCTACTGTTTTGTGCAACCAGGACCAGACTGAAAAAGGGTTTGCATAATTTCTCCAGCCCCTCTTCATCTTTAGCTACTGAGAGCCATGCTCCAAACTGGCAGTGGAGGACATCCAACCAGTGTGAGAATGTGGATAAAAAGTTAGCCTTGGAGTCAAGGAGACCTTAGTTCATTCTTTAACTGTGATATTTAGAAGCTGTATGACCATGGATAAGCCACTTAACTTTTCAGTGTCCCAGGATACTCCCTGTCTGTGAAGTGCAAATCTCCTATGGTGGGGAGAGTTACAATTCTAGGAGTTTCCCACACTGATAACATTATAGCTCAGGATTTTACCTCTGCCATCAAGGAAAAATAAAATAAGAAGATGCCCAGGATATTTAAGTTTGACTGGAAGCCTTTTTAACTGTTGGGTCAAAATGTTTCTACTCTTTATTATAGTGCCTCCAATCCTTTTTCTTTCTATTGAAAGTCTGAGTTTCTTAATTGTCCATGGTAGAGTGAAGGGTTCAAAATAAATTATTAATGTTAGCCCAAGATCTGGGACTGTCTCAGTTGGATGTTAAGGGAAGAGTCTTTTGAAAAGAAGACACTTGATTTCAATGCAGAACAGAGAGGAGAGGGCATTGAAAAGAAATTTTGCCCACTCACAACAGGAGCTTGGTTGGCAGGAGAAAATGTGAATGGGAGGGAGAATTGGATTAAGAGCTTCAGACCCCCAAAGACATGTTCTTCCTCAGGAACAGGGGAGGGAGGCAGAAAGAAGGTGACAGATCCATGAGAGGGGAAAGAAGGGACACAGCTTTTGTGAAAACCCAAGCAGAGGTGGAGCCCAAGCCAGGAGGACATCTTAACTCACTGGAATAGGCAGTTATCCCCTCCACATTGCATCTTTCCCCATTGCGGTTTTGATATATCACAGGTGCCCATAAGAAATTAAGTGGGAATTTTTGGGGAGTTTTGCAAGAGTTGCAGATGATATGCAAAGGCCAGCAGACAACACAGAAAAAGTTTAGAAAATCAGAAATGCAAAAATATACATAAATATTGTATAATAGCTACATATTTTATCTTTTAATACCATAAAATTCAGGCTTCTCTAGTATGAAGAAACAGCCAAAAAACTTTATGTGGATTTTCCAGATCATGGGGGTACCACACCCCTAACTCCCACAATGTGAAAGGAATAACTGTAATGCAAGGAAATCTTTCTGCAATCTATCTAATTCTACTCCATTTTCTGAAGTCTATAAATCAATCAAATTATATCACAGAATCAGCGTCTTAGTTAGAGGTCATTAAGTCTAACCCATATTTAATGGTGGTTCTCTCTATGATATGCCCAACAATAGGTCAGGTAACTTTTGCTTGAAAACTTCTAGGTGGGTTGAGTGGGAGGTGACCATTATCTTTCATGGTGGCCTATTCTGATTTGGATATTTCTAATTATTAGGAGGCTTTTCCTCACACAAGCCTGAAACTTGCCTGTCTGCAGCTTTCACTCATTGCTTTCAATTGTACCCTATTGTCTAATTCTTTGCCACACAAGAATCCTTCAAATAATTGAAGATTGTACACATGTCCCTCCCCTCCCCACAATATTCTTTTCTCCTGGCTCAAAATGCTCAGTTTTCTTCAACTGATCCTCATGTTACATGTCTACCAAGCTGTTGTTCATTGTTTAATTTGTTAATGCTCTTAGGAGCCAGAATTCACTATTGTGATTGACAATTATAATTATTTTCCAAAATGTTAATACTTATTTTATTTTTTACGTTAAAATGTTTTCCCATATTTCTGATTGGTTAGAGTATGCTCATGTCTCCATAGCATAATATTATTCAAAGTATTTTATAGGATATTATTGTTTAAAGTTACAACCTAGATACAGTTTACAGAAGTTCTAGGCTAGACCTGACTCATGTCAGGCTGATGGGTCAGTCTAGGAACTGCTATGAAATGAGATACACTTACAGACTATGTTTTGTGGTTCAATTGTTCGGTAATATCTGACTCTTCATGACCCAAAGGAACATAGCATACTAGGCCCTTCTATCTTCCACTGAAGTCTGTCCAAGCTTATATTCATTGTTTCCATGACGCTATCTATCCATTTCATCCTCTGCCATCTCCTTTTCCTTTTGCCTTCAATCTTTCCCAACATCAGGGGCTTTCCCAATGAGTTTCATCTGCTCATTATGTGGCCAAAGTATTTAAGCTTCAGCATTTAGCCTTCCAGTGAATGACCTGAATTAATTTCTTTGAATATTGACTGATTTGACCTCCTTGCTGTCCAAGGGACTCTCAAAAGTCTTCTCTAGCACCATAGGGTCTGCCTATCTGAAATTGTTGATATTTCTCCTGACAACTTTGATTCCAGCTTTTGATTTGTCTGGCCTGGACTTACACATGTTGTACTTTGCATATGAATTAAAATAAATAAGATGACAATATACAGCCTTGTTGCACTCCTTTTCCAATCTTAACCAATCAGTTGTTCCATGTTCAGTTCTAATTATTGTTTCTTGACATACAGGTTCCTTAGGAGAGAAGTAAGATGATCTGGTACTCTCATCTCTTTGAAGACTTGTCACATTTTGCTGTGATTCACACAGTTAAAAGCACGGGTAGTCAGTAAAGCAGAAGTAAATTTTTGTGTGTGTGGAATGGTGGCAATTTGGTCTCTAAATCTGCTGCCTTCTCAAAAACAAACCTGTACGTCTGATAATTCTTAGGTCGTATATTGCTGAAGCTTAGCTTACAGAATCTTCAGCATAACCTTGCTGGCAGGTGAAGTGAGCACAATTATTCAGTTATTTGAACATTTTGGCATTGCCCTTCTTCAAGATTGGGATGTAAACTGGTCTTTTCCAACCCAGTGACTGCTGTTGAGTTTTCCAAATTTGCTGACATACTGAGTGCAGCACCTTAACAACATCATCCATTAGTGTTTCAAATAGCTGGAATCTATTAGTCTTATGGTTAGCAATGTTTCCTAAGGCCACTTGATTTCATTCTCCAGGATGTCTGGCTCAAGATCAAGTAACCATAGCATCATGGTTATCAGTGATGTTAAGATCTTTCTTATAGAGTTCTATATATTCTTGCCACCTCTTCTTAATCTCTATTTCTCTTAACTCCCTACCATTTCTTACTTTGATCCCATTTTTAATGGAATATTCCCTTGATATATCTAATTTTCTTGAAGAGATCTCTTGTCTTTACCATTCTATTGTTTTCTTCTATTTATTTGCACTGCTCATTTAAGAAAACCTTATCTCTCCTTACTATTCTTTGGAATTCTGCATTCAGTTGGATATATCTTTCCCTTTCTCCTTCTTTCCTCAGCTTTTTGTAAAGCCCCATCAAACAGCCATTTTGCTTTCTTGCTTTTCTTTTTCTTTAGGATGTTTTTTATTGCTGCCTCCTGTACAACATTGCAAACTTCTGTCCATAGTAATTTAGGCACTCTATCTACCAGATCTAATCCTTTACATCTACTTATCACTTCCACTTTATTTTCATAAGGGATGTTATTTAGATGACACCTATACAATCTGATGGTTTTCCCTATTTTCTTCAATTTAAGTCTTTAAAAATTGCAATAAGAAGCTCGTGATCTGATCCAGGTCTTGTTTTAACTGACTGTATAAAGCCTCTCCCACTGTGTTTGCAAAGTATTTAATCAATTTGATTTTGATATTGAACATTTGGCAATGTCCACACGTCCATCTACCTTTTGGGTTGTTGAAAATGAGTATTCTCTATGACTATCAAGTTATCTTGATAAAACTTTATTAGTCTCTGCCCTGCTTCATTTTGTACCCAAGGCCAAAAATTACCTGTTATTCCAATTATCTTTTGATTTCCTACTTCATCATTTCAATCCCCTGTGATGAATGTGATATCTTTTTTTTTTTGGTGTTATATCTAGAAGAGCTGTAAATCTTCATACAATTAAGCAACTTTGGCCTCTTCAGCATCGGTGGTTGGCACACAGACTTGTTTTACTGTGATGCTAAACAGTTTTCCTTGGATTCAAACAGGTATCATTCTGTCATTTTTGAAATCATGCCCTAGTACTGCATTTCTTACCCTTTTATTGACTATGAGGGCTACTCTTATTTCTTCTAATGGATTCTTGACTACAGCAGTATATGTAATGATCACCTGAATTAAATTCACTCATTTCCCATCCATTTAAGTTAGCTTACACCCAAGATGTTGTAGATATTTCCATCTCCTGTTTGAGCACATCTAACTTACCTTGGTTCATAGATCTTACATTCAGGTTCCTGTGCATTATTGATCTTTACAGCACTGGACCTTCCTTTCATCACCAGATACACCCACAGCTGAGCTTTCTTTCAGCTTTGGTCCAACTTCCTCATTTTTTGTGGAACTACTTGTAGTTGTGCCCTGCTTTTGGGTTGGACATCTTCCAATCTGAGGGCTTCAACTTCTGATGTCATATCTTTTATCATTTTAATACTATCCATGGAGTTTTCTTGGCAAAGATACTGGAGTCATTTACCATTTCCTTCTCCAGTGAATTACCTTTTGTCTGAACTCTCTTCTGTGACCTATCTGTCTTGGGTAATCCTGCATGTCATAGCTCATAGTTTCTCTGAACTATGTAAGCCCCTCCATCACAACAAGGCAGTGATCCAGGAGTATATAGACCATATAGCATTTAACAAAAGGGAAAGTTTGCTGAACAATATAACGAAAACAATAGTCAGCAAAGATACAGCATTTCAGGAAGGCACAGTTTCCCAACCTCTGAATTTATACTGCAACCAGTCAGTTGGGTATATCTAGCTTAAATAGCCCCAAAATCCTCATGTACTGGGCTTTTATTCTTAGGAGGCCAGGAAATTATGACAATGAATTGAAGTCTTAATTCTCTGAACAATTAAATTTTGAGAATGGTTTCATTTGTTTTAAGGAAGAACTAACTTTACCTACATGGAGGAGATGTTGCAATAGTGGTAATGTTTTAATTTTGGAGTTTTCTTTAAGAGTTCCCAAAGCTCTTAAAAGCCATATCTTGCCCTAGGGCTATAGGTTTGTTACTTTTGATATAATTATAATCATTTGGTCTACCTTTTCTCTCAGGTCTCAAAGACTTCCGAGGGTTTGATGGAGACTTTACAATACTCCAAACCATCGCCTTGCAATGAAGCTTTGGATACTAGATCTTTGGAACCACAGTACTTGCAACAACATGGGACTTCAGGACAGCCAGCATCATACTAAGAAGAAACCCATCTTATCCCTTGTCTTAAGGGAAGAGAGATCATCCTGAATGGAAAAATCAAAGAAGAAAAAGAATACCAGCAGCTTACAGCACACTGCAAATAGCTCATCAGGGCCTGACCAAGTAATCCTTACTAGTGATTCCAACGCTTATAGACATTCACCAAGAACAGAAAGGTTTAATCCTTCTAAAATCATCAAAAAAAATACTCAGATAAAGAGACCAACTACTGTCACCCTATTGCAAAGATCCAAAAGGGGAAGCATGTCTGATGGTCTGGCTCAACCCCCTATAATCCCGCCCCGAAGACCAAGATTTAGACTGTGCTACATTTGTGGAAAAGAATTTGGTTCTCAGTCCATTTCCATTCATGAACCCCAGTGCCTGAAGAAGTGGCACATTGAAAACAACAAGTTACCCAGAAATCTCAGAAAACCAGAGCCCCCAAAACCAAAACCTCTCAGTGGTACTACTTCTTATGATTTGCAGTCTATCCACGAGACTGCCTTTGAGAGTGCTCAGGCTCAGCTATTGCCTTGTGAACACTGTGGTCGAACTTTCTTGCCTGACCATCTTCTTGTTCACCTAAGAAGTTGTAAGCCAAAAGCTAATTTCTCTGAGAATCCCCCTGGCAAGAAGAAAACCCTTGGTGGATTCATGTCCCCACCGAAGACTCTCCTCTGTTATGTCTGTGGCAGAGAGTTTGACAGCCAGACTCTTTCTGCCCACGAGTTAGAGTGCCTGGAGAAATGGAAAGCAGAAAATCAGCGACTCCCCAAAGAGCTCCGCCAGATACCCCCTCAGAAGCCAAAGCGTTATTCAGCCAAGCCAGCTAAGCCTGAGACTTCTGACAGTCATGAGGATACACAAATGGTGTGCTCCAAGTGTAACAAGATCTTTATATTGGATCGTCTTCATATACACCAAAAAATTTGCCAACTTCAAGCCTCTGATTCCAGCACTTTTAAAAGTAGAAGCAATGGGAAGGAGTCAGTAAAAATTAAGCAACAAAAGAACAAGGCAGGATCCTTCAGATCTGACAAGGTAATCCCTTGCACAAAATGCATACTAAAGGGGCCTGGTAATAATTTCCATGGCACTAGAAGAAACTTTTCTTCTGGACAACTTTTTTAAGTGTCTAATTTCTCTTTTAGGGAACCCTTGGTGAATCTGCGGGAGAAGTACAACCTTTTCTATATCAAAAAAAAAATCATGACTTGCCCTATTGTTTTCTTTATTATCTAAATCTTTGCTGTCCAGGGGGAAGGAAAAGAAAGATGGACACCTTATTCCTTGGTTCCTCATTATGCTTTATCTCTGGGAGAGGCTGTTATTTGCAAATGAGTCATTAATGCTGTGTCTGTGTTACAAAGTTATAACTCCCATTTCAATAGCCAGGATTCATTATGGTTTATTTCAGTCATCTGCATTAGGAATTTGCTTTTTGGCAATACTGAGTTATGTTGAGTTTATTTGACTAAAATAGAATCTGTGTCAAAAATCCCAGATGACTAAAGCAGTACACACTAGGGTACTTTTGGTAACTCACAGACCTGCAATTGTGACCTCTTTTTCTTAAAAAATTAGTCAATGGATAGTTAATAAAATGAAGGATATGCCCCAACACAACTGTTATCCCATAATCAAGAGGAAAGGAGGGCAAAGTGAATGAATATTTATAAAGTCCTACTATGTACCAGGCACTCTTTGCTAAGTGCTTTACAAATATCTCATTTGATCCTCACAATAACCTTTTTGACATAGGTATTGTTATCCCCTTTTTACAGAAGAAATTGAGGCAGACAGAGGTTAAGTGACTTACCCAGAGTCTCATAGCTAATAAGATTCTGAGGTTGGATTTGAACTCAGGTTTTCTTGATTCTAAGCCCAGTACTCTATCCACTGTGCCACCTAGCTGCCAGGCTAATAAATAAGCATTTCTTAAGCACATTCTATGTGCTGGCTAAGTGCTATTCATTGCCACAAGAGTCAGCCAATGTCCCCCACCTCTGCTGAGCCCCATGCTCCAAGAATAGCTCTAGGCCTAGTGCTCCCCTGGACCATGCCCAGTGGTTGTTCTATTATTTCCCTATCTTTTGGGAGTGAAGAACTACTATACTTTTTACCTAAAGCTTTATGGTTGACTAGGGATATGGAATTAGACTGTGAGAGCAGTGGAGTGAATGCTGGAAGGGTTCTACCCTCCTCTGATGTGATGGCAAGCCTAGGCTAATACGTGCCCACCTTCTAGGGTTTGCTTTCTCAAATGTTGATTTATCAAACCAATTGGACTGATTTGACTGATTGGGGAATCCTGCAATGTACAAGTTATTTTTCAGGACAAAATAGAATAGTTTATGATTTTTCTCATTTACATGGTTTCTGTTCTTCTTTACTAGTTTTCTGTTTCTTTGGGATGAATATATTCTTTTCTTCCATTTTTTCATGTTTAATAATTAAAGCTATATATATTTGCATTTTTAAAATCCCCAAAGGATTACATTGAAACACCAGAAAAAATTACAGTATTGTATAGTTTTGTAGTGAACACTTATGAAAGAACTCAAGGGGAAACTAGGTGGTAGAGTGGATAGAGTGTTGGGCCTGGCATCAAGAAGACCTGAGTTCAAATCCAGCCTCGGACACCAGCTGTGTGACCCTGGGCAAGTCACTTCCCCTCTGTTTGCCTCAGTCTCTTCATCTGTAAAATAAAGATAATAATAGCACCTATTTTTCAAGGCTGTTGTAAGGATCAAATGGTGTAATAATTAGCACAATGTCTGGCACATATTAAATGCTATATAAATATTAACTATTGCTATTATTATTATTATTAATTTTCTTACGTAGTGAAAATCTCAAATTTTAGATGTGGCACACAAAGGTACTCTTCTAGTCTAAAAAATTTGTTTCTTTTTTCTTTTGTGACTTTAAAAATTTCTGTATTCATCCAAAATATATAATCTGACTTCATTGAGAGAGACAGAGACAGAGAGGAGGGAAAGGAAGAGACAGAGCAAGAGACAGACAAAAAAGACAGAGACAGAAAAGAGAAAGGTAGAGAAGGAGAGAGAGAGAGATAGAAAGATATATATCTATATCTATATCTATATCTATATCTATATCTATATCTATATCTATATCTATATCTATATCTAATCTATATCTATATATCTATGTCTATATCTATATCTATATCTATATATATTGAGAGAGAGAGAGAATGTTAGAGTGTAAGTTCCTTGTGAGTAGGGACTATTTTGTTCTTTGTACTTGTATCCCCAAGCACCTAGAACAATGCCTGACACACACTAGGCCCTTTTGGAATATTTTTTCATTGATTGAATGTGTATGTATCTGTATCTGTGTGTACATTTGTACTACAAATCAGATTCCTTTGTATTCTTACTTAAAACTTTGTCTCTTAATTGGATCCACTTATTTCAAATGTTCTTATTACAGATCATGGATATGGAACACTTTGGTCAGGATTCTTTTACTTGCTGCTATGCTCCCAAAAATGGAGCCAACAGGCAAAGCACAGCATGTACTCCTATGCAGTCAAACTGCTAAAACAAAGTGCCTTGGGTGGATGTTTTATAATACTCTGTTGATTTGAGCTGAAGGCAAAAAAAAAAGCCCTAATAAAGGTCCATTGGTGGCACACCCACCTCTACTAAGCTAAGGGGAGTCTCAAGAACCAAGCCAGAACTCTTCAGAAGATGCTATAACTTGTGTATGTTAGGGTACATATGTCACAACTCCCAACCTAGAGTAAGTATGTCAACAGGAAACTGTCACCCACTGCTCTCAGGCATGTGCTCACTGTTCCTAGGACCACTCGTACTTTCAGAGAGAGTATAAAAAGGCCATCCAAGATGGATACCTTTAGCCGCATGATTTAAAAAAATTTCGGTTAGGAGAGAATTCTTGGTTTTCTGAAAGGAAAAATTACTTCTAAAGCAATTGGGCATTCAGTCTTTCCCTTAGCTATACTATTTCTCATTCCAATAAAATTCTTCAGCAAGAAGCCTTTTTCCATTCGTTTCTTCTCTGGTGCAGTCTACTGAAACTTCTTCCTTTTTTACCACTCTGTTACTTACTAACTCTAAAGTCTCTGCCCAGACTTCTTTTTTCTGGACAGTGAGGCTATCAATTATCCTTCCTTTTAATACTCTTTAATTTCTCAACATCATTCTAGTATAACATCTTGTCTAAGATACTCCCCCAATTCATGGTTTGGGTCACCGTAGTGGTTACTACTCTTGGGATCTATAACTAAAACTGAAGTGCTACTTTGACAATATGGCTCAAGAGCCCCCACTGGTATGTATCCCATTAGTAAACAATAAGTAGACTCAGCTTTTAGCAAAGTTATTTACTAAGCTGGCATTATAAAAGCAATAATTACAACCCCTTCCAAAATCCCTCCCCCCCACACACATATAAGTACACACTTACAAAAACTTCAGGCACATTCTCCAAAAATTACACTTGAGATTGATGGGAAGAGTCAGTTCAAATTTAGAATATAATGGAAATGAGGCATACGTATAAGGAATATCTTGTCAAAGACGTCAAAACTTCTAGTATTGGAAGTTCCTTCTCCCTTTGTGGAATCCATATATAGCTTTTTTTGGGGTGTAACATCAATGCAAGACAGGTTGCTTAGCTACTAGTTTCAAATGGCTCCTGAAATATGTAACTTTCTTGAGTTTCTAGTCAATACTTCCCTCTGTTATTAGAGTTCACATTCCTTGAAGCTATCTTCTCCCTCTCTTTCTCCACTGGTCTGTCCTCAATATGTTTTCTGCTCCCAGATGGATGCATTGTCTCTTATTAGTTCAGTTTTTCTGGTGACATAGTCAATGGGACTAGTGATGTAGTCACTTTCCTTCCTTGTTGCTCTCTTCAATAGATAAAAATAATGATCTGACTTCATAAAGCACTTCTAATCCTAGAATCTTTTACTGCTGGACTGGTTAAACTCCTAAATTCACTTCCTCTTTTTAAATACTGGCCAAAAGGAGTGAATGATTTTCTCAGCCAATCAAATTGCTTTCTTTCTTGTCCGTCTTCTAGGGAAGTTTGCACCTAAGAAAGGAATTAAGGAAATTATACATGTTCACACATTCCTAACTTGGGGAATTCACTCTCCATTTACTAATGACTTGGGGGCATTCAGACATTGTCCTTCCCTAGTGCTTTATGCCAAAGGGTGTCTGAAATGTATATGTGGCATGGTTCACAAACAAATGTAGAAATTATAATTTTGCCATATTTCCAAATATATGGAGATGCAATTTTACAAACAAATACTATTTCATAAAGTTTTCCACTTGTCTTAGTGTTTGCGAAGGTCTTCCCCAACCCAAAGACAATAAAGGAAAAGGGAAAGAAAGTCAAATGTTTCATCTCAGAGGAAAAATCTCACTCCCTGAAGAGGTCCCAAAACATGTTGGGCCCTCTCCATAGGAATTAAAGACATGGGATTCAACAAAAGTCAACCTCTCACCCTTCAGACGAGAACTTAAACCACTTTGCTTTGGTGCTTGGGTAACAGCACTGGGCCTGAGACATTTACCTTTTTTCTCTCCCACTGAAGTCCCTCTGTGCATTGGGTTCACTCGGATACTAAGTGCCATAACAAACTAGCATAGGACCTGGGGTGAGAGGAGAAGGGGGCTGCAGTACTTGTTCTCTCTCTGAGTAATCACCCCCAAGTCCTCTCCCTCTCTGTTTAAGAGGCCCCTCTGCTCAGAGCCCCACATAAAACTTGCGTTTAATCTTGTGAAATTCATCTGGGTTCCAACATAAGGCATCCAAATTCTCTAGAGATCCCTGAAGTGTATGGGGAATCTAACTGGAGGTCTAGACAAAACATTTCCGGTATCTTATCATACATAAAGCACACCAAAATTTCTAGGGATTTTTTCATACATAAGGCAATCCAATTAGAAGTTTCAGATAAAAATTATCTCTGAGTTCCTGCACCATACATCATCCAAAATTTCTCCACAAATCCCTGAAACTTATAGGGGTCC